GCCAATTCATCTGCTCATGCTCATGCTACCTCAAGTCATTGTCACTAATTATAGTTAAAAAAAGCCTACTTGTAATTCACCAAATCGTGTAGCGTAATTTCACTGATGGTATTATGCTCATGAATGTAAATGCCTAACTAGATAAATGGTTAAGACATACTAAAAACAAACCATACTGTGTATTACGTTTTCGTACATAGTAAATCCTCCATACTCTAATTGCTTCAAGCATAATTTTTTTTATTCACTCTACCTATTAATTTGAAGCTAATTTTCACCACAAAATGATAACAAGATTAGAAATTTTGTCTTTGGATTTCCGAACTGATCAAAAGTCTACATACCTACACAGAGCATGGCTAGCACTATCTTATGAAGAAAAACATTCTATAACATTGATCGCGACAGAAGACGGAAGCGTCAAAACATGTAGTTATGTAGTGTATTATATATATAATGTCAAGCGGCATTTTTCTGCACACATTATCATAACTAATTTTGTAACTAATTTACGAAACTTGGAAGCGGATTTCAATAGTATAATGTCATGAATCATCAGTAAATCAGAATATATCTTAGTTTATTTTAATTAAATTCATGTCAATGAATAAATCTACCTACCATATCAATTAATAAATCTAGTTGCTACACCATTTTTTTTTACAAAGCTAGTCACTATGGTTGTCAATAAGTAGATAAAATCATCATCCAGTATTGTTAGTATAAAACTCATGATTATGAAACACTATTATGATGAAATTATCTAACAAAATTTATGTGCAAAGAAATTTGAGAATTAATGTAACCAACAGTTGTCATATAAACAGGAATTGCTATTGGTGAATTTATTTATAACCAAAGATAGAAATGAAGTTTTTAAAGTGAACCATGAGTTGATATAACAGTTAGAACAAATTCACAATGTGATTGAAGTTATACTCTGTTAAGTAGTTTATAAAACTTAATTGTCATCTAAATGCCATAACAAACTTCTTGTCTAATTCTATATTGTAAGCTGTTCTAATAATTGCTATTGTACTTCACGACAGTAAGATGTAAAAACCCTTACATATTTGGGCAGGATCATTGACGAACACAGTGGATCGGATGCAAATGTGAAGGTAAGGGTCGGAAAAGCAAGAGCAGCACATTTACAACTGAAGAACATCTAAAACTTAAAGCAACTGTCAACCAACACCAAGGTCAGGATTTTCAATACAAATGTCAAGACGGTTCAACTGTATGGAGCAGAAACCTGGAGAACTACGAAAGCCATCATCCAGAAGATACAAGTGTTTGTTAACAACTGTCTGCGCAAAATACTTCGGAGTCGTTGACCAGAACAATATAAGCAACAAGCTTTTGTGGGGGAGAACAAATCAGATCCCAGTAGAGGAAGAAATCAGGAAGAAGCGTTGGAGGTGGAGAGGACACAGATTGAGGAAAGCACCCGACTGAGTCACATGGCAAGCCCTCACATGGAATTCTCAAGGCCAAAGGAGGATAGGAAGACCAAAGATCACGTTACGCCAGGAAATGGAGATAGACGTGAGAAAAATGAACAAGAATTGAATGGAACTAGAAAAGAAGGCCCATGATGGAGTGGGTTGGAGAATGTTGGTCGGCGGCCTAGTCTCCATTAGGAGTAACAGGCGTAAGTAAGTAAGTAAGTACTTCACGACAATAACTATCCAGTTAACTTTATTAAACCAATTTTTTTTTAAATAAAAGAATCAAATATCTTTTTCTCCACCAATAATAATCGTAATAAAAACTTATTCGTTATTAATTTCTCTTCTGTTTCATTTCATTAGTCTATATAATTAATCATTAGACACTGAGTAAGGATAATAACATTTCTGAAGATGTTATACGTCACTAGTATATATAAATTACTAGTAGAGTTGAATTATATTGGTGACCCTTAACAATCAAAGGGATTTCAAGAGTTTCATTCTTTTCAGTTATCTATACAATACACAGTTAAGTTATAAAACAAAACTTTATTTTTTCTTTGGTTTGGTTTGAGATATGTCTAAGGTCTATAATCGCATTTAGAATAATTGCAACATTAGGGTTTTCATTACTGCCGTTCTGGATTCATTATGATACTGAAAATAGTTTTATAACCGGTTTCATATTTCCCGAATGTTTGCTGCGTGATGTGGTGTAGCAAAGACGTTGCACAACAGAGATCATAGAATCATATATAAATATCATCATATTCATACACAATCCTATGAAAAATAAGTGTTTATGCGACCTGACGGAGAAGCTCTGGAAGAGGTGGAAACTTTCACACATCTGAGTAGCATCATTGGTGAACGAGGAGGATCAGATGCAGACGTAAAGGCAAGGATTGACAAAGTAGGGGCAGCATTCCTATAGGTGAAGAACATATGGAACTCTAAATAGCTGTCAACCACCATCAAAGTCAGAATCTTCAATACGAACGTCAAGACAGTTCTACTATACCGGGCTGAAACTTGGAGAACTACCACAACCATCATAAAAAACGCACAAGTATTTATAAAAATTTATATGTGTAAGATACTAAATATCCGTTGATCGGATACCACCAACAACAGTGTACTCTGAAAGAGAACTAACCAACTTCTAACTGCTGAGGAAATTATGAAAAGACAATGAAGGTGGATAGGAGGCATCGTATAATTTATCAAACTTCATCACGAGACAAGCCAAAGCATTTAATCCTGAAAGTAAAAAATATAGTGGCAGATCAAAAACACATTGCATTGGGATTGAAAGTAAACATCAAGAGAATGAATAACGAATGTGAAGAACTGGAAAGGAGAGGCTGTTGGTCGAAGAATCCTGGTCGACAATGAGTTGGTATCTTAGTTTTACATAGTTATGAAGGTGAAAAATCCTGAATTCAGCTACGATGAATATTTTCGATAAAGCTTATGTCTACCGTGTCCTCATTTTATGTTCTTACTTTATTGAACCCAATACAAACTTGTTACAGCTTCAAGGAATAATATTTTGCATCTTCAACATAATAAGGAAGAAGATTTATAGTTTCATTTCGTCCAAACAATTGAAATGTCTAGACATAACCGTTGCATAATAGTAACTTTCCGCATCTTATTTATTTAAATCTGTGTTAAAACGACGTATAATGACATTCCTATATCTTTTTTCTATTAATGTTACCTAAATAAGTTGATTGTTACTATGGCTTCGAGATAGATGTAAACATACAAATAAAAAAGGAAACGGACTATATTTGGTTGACAATGTTAATTCTCTCTGTTATTCATAAAGAATCTGTAGAACATTACATATTCATAAAAAGATTATTCAATTACAATTACAATGGTTTTTTTAATTTCATACAATAGCTGATGCTGTGTATCGATCAACATCTTGGAATTATTTAAAACGAACAGTTCGATGCAACATCTGTACTGAAGTAGAGAAACTTATTAATGCTATAGTATAATAAGAAATAGCTAAAACAGTACTACACTAACGCCCTTTTGCGAATCATCACAGTTAAAAAAGGGATTACCGGATCTCGCGTAAAATCTGAAATGCAGTGAAGGTCAGCTCATTTCTTAACTAGAGCTCAGCTAATAATTCCTTATAGCTGACCCCAAATATGCAGATAACACACTGGGTGTACTTGATGTGATTCAAAGAATTGTGAGGGATGCTTCTAAAGCTAAAAAGTACACACTCACTTTAACCATGACTAGTAAGCCTAGTCCCCATAACCCCAATAAATAACCGTAAAAAGATGGAATTATAGTTATAAATGGTGTCAGTTTGCGGTAAAAACCGTTACTTCATTCCTTGTCCATAACTCCTGACTCTTCTTAGACTTCGAATTCCTAACCCTAACCGTTTTTGATCACTAATTATTATGAAGCGGATTATCAAACTTACTTTTTTTAATTATTCATTTATTGATAACTAAACACTTTTCCTATTGACTGATGATTTGCTCAAAGTTCACAGCACAGTACAGTTTTATTCACTTATTCCCTAGTTTATTATGACACTCAATTCATTTATTTAGACTATATAATCATTACTATTAATGACTTTATTCAGTATTATGTTTTTGACACAGTATGGAGTTCTCAGCACAGAGTATTTCAAGAAGTTTTATTTTCTCATTGCTTGATCGATCCTAATGACAAATATTGAAATCTTGTCGTGGTAATGAACAGTTGTCTTATAAATCATTTGATCAGGATTTTTTAATTATGGTTATACCAGAATTATGGTACATGTTTAGACTTAGTATGAATCGAAGATAGTTGGCTGTTAGCATTTCAGGAATCGACGTCTGAATGATGTTCATTCTTTTCAATGCATATTTCCAGACATCACGATGTCTCGGATTGTACTTTTTTTGTATGTTGTACGGCGAAGAGATGTAAATCTTTCATAAACGCATCTGAATAGGTTAGACGATTGATAGACATGATGATTTATTAAAACAAGCAAAGAGAGATAACTTGTTGAATGATCTGTATGACAGGAACAAGTAGCCTAGATATTCAAGCGGGCCACCAGATGCAGAATTTCATTGTTAAATGTGTCTATGCATGTCCCTAACATGATACGTATTGGACAAATCTGATTAGATATGCCTACAATATACTACTGGGACGGCATTGGAAGTTATAAATAATGTATATAAACTTTCCATTTTCATCAGCATTAAGATAAACTCTATAAAATTATTGGTCTTGAGTTTATTTGATAGCTGACAACATAGGGTAACATAAGCTCCCTGTAATCATTTGAAAACTCTATACAAAGTGAGAGGTTGATATATAAATGCGAGTTCTAAAAGACATTTAGAGGCTTTCCTTGTTTAACTGCAAACAAAATAAAAATTGTATTTTAATTGTTTTATAATTAGTTAATCTACATAACATAAAAATCTATTTTTATATTCACACTCTAGTTTACTTATATGTTTAAAAGTAGTTTATGATATTACGTGTAATATATTTTACCTTCTTTTTATAGGCTTATGATTTATTATTCTGGTAATAGTATAAAAACATGTTTTACATAGTTCATAAATTCATTTATTTAATTAAATAAGTCAATAAATAGTTGATAATCTTCATTATTTAGGAATGTTAAACTTATTTCCCATTTCTCATATATAATTCATTTTGAGCTGAGTCTAATTCCACACGTAATGCATGAACAAGTTTAATTAAACTAACATTTAAAAGTTGTAAACTTCTGTTATTATAGTGTTGATCAATTTTTATCGAAGATAAATTATGATTGAAGTCTGTTTGAACTTGAAAATCACATGTACTTTTTAAATTTTCATCATATGTTTGAACACTAGAACTGCATAAATTTGTTGTTATCTCTTTGGATTGTGTTAAATGTGTACAATTTCTTTGACGAATCAATTCTTCTTCTTCTTCTTCTAAGGAACATGTTAAAGTTTGAATACCAACATCAACTGTTGATTGTACTTCTTGTGATAGTTTAATATTTTCCCGGTGTATTTCACCTAGTTCAGCCTGTCACATGAAGAAGAAGAAAAAGTAAATATTTATCATAAAAGATTCAAATATGCTATGGTTTAATAACTTTCCACAGTAAACAAAATAAAATGTTTTAAAAATTTTGATTATTTTGCGTGAATAAATAACTAACTAAGGCAATATATTACTCACTAGATGTATATAGTAATATTTAATCACTGGCTTCTAAATTAACCGAACATCATTTATTCGTTGTAGCATAAAGTGATTGAGTACCTACTAGATATATTCGTAAATTTTCATTGTATTTAGTTATGGAAATAAAATTAATAATTGAATAATGCGGTTAAAAATATTCTTTACTTAAGAAAATGTTTAATTTTCAAAATATCCTTGATATCTTTGTATTGTACATTTAGTTTGTTATTCTTTCCAACAAAAACAGACACATTTTCTGATTTTACACATTTATGGATGTGATCAAGATTTAGATGAATAATGTTTGGTATCACTTCACTTTGTCTTGATCATAGTATAATAATATATCGAGGATTTCTAGATGACAGTCACTTGACATTTCAATGACTTTATGACTTAAGAAGAAGTTCCAGGTAATACTAGCTGAGCATTACGTTTGTTTACAAATCTACAATTAATTTATCATGATGGTCTGTTCAGTATCATGTATATTACAATCAACGCATTGATTGTGTAACTAACTTGTGACTGTATCTGAGGTGAACTAACATAAAAATTCGAAGAAACAATTGTTTATAGGAATTAATTTGTCTCTCTTTGATGAACATTATTGTTTATTATTGGGCTTAAGAATATTGTTAAGTTATCTACAGCGGATATCCAAGCGAAAAACATGCAATAGTCACTGACATTGCTTTTCCGATATAATAAACATTTTGAGCAAGCTTTACAATCAAGGACTTTATTATTTAGTTAATTTACATATATATACCTAGTTTCATTAAAAATTGGGACAACTCATAGACTGACAAATGCAAAATATCGGAAGGGGTTTTGTGGAGAGTTTAGAAATTTCACTGATTGAAATCATGAGTCAATTGAAGCTAGACCACCATGGAAAATCTGGAGGCACTAGACGACCGTTTCGTTCTGGTATGGGACTCCTTAGTGGTCTAGTTTGTTAAGCGCCTGACGCGAGACTGATAGGTCCTGGGTTCGAATCTCACGGGGTGCGGGATCGTGGATGCGCACTGCTGAGGAGTCCCATACTAGGACGAAACGACCGTCTAGTGCTTCTAGGTTTTCCATGGTGGTCTAGCTTCAATTGACTCATGATTTCAATCAATGTAAAATAGTTTCAAAATTTTCTGATATTATCAATCCGAAACGTAATGTATGTAGGTATGCAACTCAAGTATTTTGAATATTAAGTGTAAACCTTAACATAATCCTGAGTTTCATCTAGAAAGAAATTAATTTTTGAGTTTTAAAAGTAACAAGATGTTAAACCGTACGATTGTTTGAATGGATCTGTTTAAGGTCGGGATTTGTGTTATATGTTAAGTAGGAATTATAAAAGCATTATGAATCATAAGGTAAGAATAAACTCATAGTAGTACATCCCTAATTTTTTTCATTATTTAATTAAAAAGGTTAATAGTAAAGTCATTTAATTTAAACCTTTAACGTAGAATTATAACTTCATGAAATGATATAATTCACCACATGAAATATGTTAGAAGAACTAATGCTGTATAACATAATAATAACTGAGTAATTGATGGATCTTGTATCCTAATATACCTCATAATGATATAGCAAATACAGCAAACAACTAGAATTTACATTTGCATTCGACTCGATAAAAACAATCAACATATTAATGAAACTCTCAAACAGACATTGTTACAAATTATAAATAACTGAGAGTTTAATACATTTTTAATATCATGTTCTAAACAGGTAAAGGCTCTTTCCTTTGTCTCAGTCTGTATGTATACGATGTCACTAGATTTATTATTTCCTCAATTCAGCATACAATATCATTCGTATAGAATTGTGGAGATTGCTGAATTTCACTGAAATCATGAAACAATCTATGTTAGACCACCTCTGAAAACCTCAACTCGGTGAACGCCGTCTCGTCCTAGTATTAGATTTCTGAACAGTGCACATCCACGATCCTGTGTGCGTGGCTCGAACACAAGACCTTTAATCTCGTGTGTAACTGCTTAGGCTCTGGACAACTGACTTGGCATAAAATGGTGTTAATGTCTAAGTTCAATCAATTCATGATATTTTTCAACCGCCTCCCATTGTTTTTTATGGGTAAATGCCACGCATCCCATAAGGTGTACCTCTACTATTTTGATGGAGTTTTGTTCTCTGAGCTGGGTGGTCTGGTCGTTGAGCTTTCATCGTTCTTCTGAACGACATTATTAACATAAACTTCAGATAGAAGTACCTCTACGAGTTCTGCGTTTTTACTATAACTCCGGAAATTTTCTCTTGAAGCTAGTCATTAGCGAGCACATGATAATTATCATTATTAGATTGTGGAGATTTCTGAGTTTCATTGACCAGTGTAGTTCAACCGTATGGGGTGTGAGGTGGTTATTCACCAGTGACAATAGAAAATGGTCATAAAACGTCGTGGATTGTTTAAAATTAGATATTCACACATATGGGCGCTGACTCAATGATCAGAAAGCTTCAGGTTGGCGCGCAAGACCGAAGGTCCTGAGTTCGACTCTTGCATCCTGTGTCGTTGATATGTACTGTTGAATTGTCTCATACTATGATGAAACAGCCATACATTGCTTCTAGATTTTCGATGATGGTTTAACATGATCTAGCAACAACAACAACAACAAACTTTGTTAGTTTAAATCACAAAGTATGAAATACTAAAATGATATTTAATGTTTCTTCTCTCAAATATCAACTACCTCCTTAATATAACTATCCATTATAAAATAAATTGAACAAAACTACAAGATCATTTATTGCTACAAATGAGATTAATGAACATTAGTTTTTTTTCTATCTACATATTAATTAGTGTAACCCCTATCAACTTTATTTTTTTATCAAAAAAATACTGTTTTATCTACGGTTCTGAAAAAGAAAGAAATTAGAAAAATAATTTATTATGTTATTATTATTATCACATGTCCATTTGTTAGTAGTAAACAAATTTTAATCAAAGAATAATAATTAATTGACAACTAATATCTCCTTTTTATGTTCAGAATAAATATCATAATTATTGATATGCTTATCGATCCCTCATCGATAAACATATCAATAATTATGATACAAGTACAAGTATTTATAAATGGTTGTCTACGCAATATACTCAACATCCATTGGCCGGATACCATCAGCAACAGCCTTCTCTGGGAGAGAACAAATCAGCTTCCAACTGAAGAGGAAATTAGGAAAAGATGATAGAAATGGATAGGACATACATTACCCAAATCATCAAACTGTATCACGAGGCAAGTCCTAACTTGGAATTCTGAAGAGAAGCAGAAAAGAGGAAGGTCAAAGAACACATTACGTCGGGAAATCGAAGCGGATATGAAAAGGATGAATAAAAATCGGAAGGAGCTGGAAAGGATTGCCCAGGACAGGGTTTTATGGAGAATGCTGGTGAGCGGCCTATGCTCCTTCACGAGGAGTAACAGGCGTAAATAAGTAAGCAAGTAATTAAGTAAGTATCGATCCCTTATAGAAAATTTGCCAATATACTTTTATGTTCTCTTATTCTACTTATATCAGTAATATCTTATATAAATTTTTGAATACTTAAATTTTCTGATCTTTTTCTTTTTTACATTTCCAATCACAATAAATCAATAACCTAAAAATATAAATCATAAATTTTGTTGTTGGTTTATCGAAACATAAAACTTCCATAGTATTTACATTGTTTATTATCTGCTTCAAGCCCTAATGTTTCCGATTACTGCTTATACTCTTACTACCTCTACCACTACGGAATTCGGGTCGACAATTGCATCTCTGTGCTAATGTGGTGTGGCAACTCGAACTGATGTACGTAGGTACGAAGTTCTACATTGTTACTGACTGACTGACTGACTTTTTATTATCAGTACTAGTGTCATTTAGAAAACAAAAATACATTTTATATATAAAAAACAATTTTCCTTTATTTAAAAAAATTTTTTCAGCATTTTGTACTTCTGATCTTTAATAATTAAGAATTCTATTTTCAATATGAAATGATTTTAGTTTTAATTTAATTTATGTATCATTTGAGTTGATAAAACGTTTTGAACAAAACAAAATTACTTCACACTGTATTACTTATGAAATAATAATAACAATAATTTCCTGATTAAAAACCTACTCTACTTTATACTGGCAATCCCAATAAATCAATAAACCTTGATAGGTATATATATGTATATATATATATATATATGGTTAAAGTATACCCCAAAATAACTTTACAATTAAAGAGAAAACTCATAATATGAATTATAATAAGTGAATTGTTGTACAGAAACACAAATAACACTTATAATTTATTATTTAAAACACACTAACAACTTCTTTAGAAATTGTCTAGACAAAGATATTGATTTTAAGTGTTTTGATTCTATGAGAAAAATTCACTGATTCCAATAATAATAATAATAATAATAATAATAATAATAAGAAGAAGAAGAAGAAGAAGAAGAATGTATTAAGATTTACTTCGATAATGTAATAAGAAGACGAAGATTATCAGAACTATGTGATATTTTGGTGCAATACATTTCGAACAATCTGATCACACATATAGTTGTTAAGAGCATTTATAAATAAAAAAATAAAAGGTCAACTAGGCAAGAAACGGGGTAAGAGGAGATAAGGATAATGATAAGAGTAATAATAATAATGTGAACACAATTCAAAACCTAATCACTCTGGATAATAAGTCAATATTACCAGGGTAGGTTTAATGTAAGAACAAACTGTTTTTGAACACATAAAGGGGGTTTGAATTTTCGTATGGCTAAGGCTTCAATAAACGTTAGTATACACCC